CTTCCTCTTCAATTTTTTCTTCTCGCACTAAAATTCCAGGATTCTAATTTGTGTCCCAGCACGTATGACAATGGGAGTCTGGGAGGTGCCACCCACACAGAGATTTCTTTTTGGTTGAAATAAAGGGAAGTGATGTCTGACTTTTCACATGTGAATTTGAAAATAGACAAAATTCCTGCTGGAAAAGTAAGTTCCTAACATAGAACTTTCTAAGAAATAAAGATAACATTTCTCCCCAGACACTTTATTAATTCATATGTTTTGTCCTTGATGGAGGAACAACTACTCCAAGGATATGAAAGGGTTAATTCACTTTCTGTGTGCTTTCCTGCTTTCCTGGAGTAGAGAAGTTATCTTTATTATGTGGAATTTGGCTTAATGCATCTCAGCATTAGGTCTGCAGAGTTAATATCTGCAGAGGTCTTACAAATGTTAGCAAATGGAGAAAGTGGGAATATTTAACTTGGAACAGAAATGTCTCTCTTTGTCTCCAGCTCTCTAGCTCTCTTTCCAGTAGTAGAATAAAGGGCTTTAACGTAGGTGGACAGGTGTTATGTTTATTCTGTGTAGTCCCCAAAGCACAATTTGGACCCATGGATGTTGACTACAGGTAAGTCTCTTTCTACTCTAAACAACAGTAGATTTCTCCAGGAATGGAATGAGTAATGAGTAAGTCCACATCCCTAGAGGGGTTCAAGCAGACAGGTATTCATTGAGACTGTTGTGGAAGATATTCATGGATCAAATTGAAATCGAGGACCTCCTCTGAAATGCCTTTTGGATCCCTGGTGTTTTAGGCACATCATAGGCACAGAAGGTTCATACCAGGCAGCCACAGTGGGAAGCCTGGATGTGTGGGTCTCCAGAGATAAGGGTCACCAACCATCTGGCTTCCTGTTGCCCTGGTATACTCTTAGAGTGGCTAGGGAGGTGTTGTTGACATAAAAAATGTAGCTTTTGGAAATGAGATTACTATAAAAGATTCTTACAAATTCGTGTTTTCTGAAAGTGGCCTTGGTTTTTGGAAATAGTTAAAAGCTTGATCAATACAGGGTCACCATAGTGGACAAAACTGGGACAAAATCCAGCAGCAGAGGCCTGACAATGGAGGGATGAAAGTGATTTTCTTGGCACTCCCATAAGCTCAATATGCAGTATGAGAGATTTTCCCCAAATGGCACTTTGAAAGTGTATGCAGCCACAAAGGCACTGGGGAACCTGCACTTAACTGAGTGTCTACACCAAAGTGATTTTTCAAGTATCAGTCTCATGTTTTATAGTTACAGAGCTTATTATGTCTAGGCAAGGGATTGGCATGTTTATTTCTTATGATGGAACATTTCCGTGGCTGCTGGAATCTCTAACTCATGCTTCCTTCACTACAGAACTTACCATGTTCCATGGTAATCTTAGGAAGACCCAGCAGGGGCTGCCAAGATGGGCACCTGAGTACTATGGCTGGGATGCTTTACCTAACCCCGCTCTACCTAACTCCTTCTCTCCCTGTGACTCATTTATCTGCTGGTGCTGCAACATGGCATTTCTGGAGGGCTCTACAGTCTGGCATGTTAACAGCTGGACAGCTGCCAGAGCTAGCCACCTCCAAATCCATGGGAGGGGCTGGCCGCTCTGTGGAATCTGGGTATGTGGGACAACAAGAATGTCATCTTCAGCCCTTTCAGGGTGGGCAGAGCTTGTCTGCCCTCCAAGAGGGACCTGCTTTAAGTGCCAAGTTCTTCTGTGAGAGAGCCCATGCAGTATCCTGATTGAGGTTTATATAATGAACTGAGCTAGAGTTTTCCCTTGAAGGCGACTTTGGTAAATGGAAAAGAAGAAAAGGCAGATGACAGGGTTGCCAAAAGGAGTGAAGAAGAGACTGGGCAGCAGCAGACAAGCCTCAGGGTGACACACAGCTTTGTTTAAAGGCAGTCTTGCAAGTCTGTATTGACACAGGCAGAGGTGGGGCAGCTCCTTATCATGGAGCACACGGCATATAGACTCTGAGGTTGACAAGAACTTGGGGGCCAGGCCAGTTGTTTTCAATTTGCCTGATTGTGAAATGAAAGAGGGTGTCTTGGCCCTTGTTTGTTTGCTCCACATCAAAAGTGTTTCCTGCTCCAAAGTATCAGTCCTCTCTATTTGGGGGTTATGCCTTTCCCTCACTCTCAGCTCCGGGGCTTTTGGTGAAGGTTCCACTCCTAACTGAGGGATGAAGCATGTGACTCAAGTCTGAGACAATCACTCCACCATGTTTCCTTCGCCACAGTGATCGGTTTCTGGCTGGGCAGCACCAGTGGTATTCAGTGACACTGGCTGGGAGTGCTGGGTCAAGGTAGAAGTCTTTTCCACCAGATTTGGCCCAGAGAGTGTGCAAAGCTGGAATTCTTGCAGCCATCTTGCAACTACCAGGAACCTGAGACTGAAGCCAGTATAGTGCAGACAGAGCAGAGACGGAAAGAACTAAATCTTGATGCTGTTGCTTGGACCCTGAATCCAGCTGTGCCTGAAGCCTAATTTTCCCTGGACTTTGCAATTCTTTTTTTTTTTCTTGATTTCCACTCCAGAGGTCCTGACTGCATCAGTTTTGTGCAGCTGGTGGGCAGGGTGTGGGAACAGGTGTGGCAGGACTAACGCACTGATAAAAATTGCAGGATGGTGTGTTGCAATTCCCTGTAAGGACAAGCTTTCCACAGAGCTGTCCGAAGAGGGTATGACTTCCCTCAAGAGTGAATTCCTTATCAGTGGCAAGATGCCATTATGCACAGGATGATCATTTAGAGGGGGATAGCATAGAATTCAGGCATCAGATGGAAGGCTGAACTGGGCAGCTCGTTAGATCTATATGTTTCAAAGTCACTTCTTAATGACTACAGCAGTGAAGTCATATGGCCTTTTCAAACTCCCTCTCTAGGTATCTTTAGTATAAGCAAGAAATGAGAAACATAGCATGGCACAAAGATTCTAATTCGGTGACCCTGATAACCGACCCTGGTGGGCAGGAATACTACAGCTAGGTCTCCACCACGAACCTCCCCTTGGTTCATCCCCGTGCTCTGTCAGGGGGGTTGACCAACTATGTCTTCCAAATCCCTTCCACCTTCTGCACCTAGGCTCTTGCCTCTACTGGGAATTTCCCCCCTTTCTGCTTTCCTCCTTTGTCTTACAGGAACCGACTCTCATGTTCCTCTGGCCAACCCAGACCAAAGGAATGACCCCGAAGGTCAGAAGATCTTTGAGTGATCTAGTTTTCCGAAGCACTGCTTTGCACTTACTAATACTGCTTTGCATAGTGTCTTGACCTTTTTTCATGATTTCTTGGCTCACCATCTTCTAGAGGGCAGATATGGACAATGAATTCTAGCGCCCAGCACATAGCTTTGCACAGGTTGTACTCAGTTGATGTTTACAGGTTAGTGATGTTTTACTATCCCTCCTGGCATCCAGCCATCTGACAGTCTCGGATCTGCATCATTAGGGTTCACTTGGTTGACACAGGCTCTCCTACACCACTGTGCCAACCTATGGAAGTCTAGTTGTGTCTGGGGTTGTTTCAGGGCCCAAGACACAGAGGAGACAGAACCATACCTCCTTGCTCGGAGTCCTTCCCACTCCACCCACACCTGATACTCCACATACCTGATGAGATAGTCAGTCATTCATTTATTCATCCTCTCACCAAGACTCACCAAGCAACCAAGCACGTGCCAGGCATTGGGTGTAGAGTGATGAACAAATTAAATGCAGTCCCTGCCTGTGGGGCTCTGGTGTGGAGTTCCTTTCGCACAGAGCCCGGTTGTTCCCCCTCCGCCCACCGATGTCTCCCTAGACCCTGACATGTCTTGCCTCGGTATCTGGGATCTGGCATGTGTCCCTTTGGAGGTAGGGTCTGTTTGCCCCTTTGCTGATGCCAAAGCCCTCCTCCTAAGGTCTTCTTTCTGCCTACTCCCCCTTTTTTCTGGGACAGAGGTGTGGCACCCCATTTCCAGGAGCCACCTCCTAATCTGTTTCCCCAGCTCAGGAAACCCTGCCTGGGTCTCTCTTAAGAGCCAGGAGAGATCTGGGTTGCCCAGGGATCATCTTATGGATGGTTACGGTTGGTGGAGTTTTGCAGCTTGAACGTCCATGTGATTTAAATTAGTAAAGCTAGAAGATATGTGCATAATCCAGACTAAAGGGAAAGCAAAGGCCAACCCCCGCTGGGCTCTGGCGTGAGGTCATGACCCCCAGGTCGCCTGCAAAGCCTTTGAGACTCACCTTTGACTCTGGACCCTGAGGTTGAGGCTCCTGGTTCTACCTGCAGCCCCAGCTCCCTCAGGTGCTATGACTGAAACCTGTGTGAGCGATGAGCTACCTGGCCGCCTGCCGGGGGCAGGGACTGGGCGGGCCTTTTTCACATTTCACAGCCAGCAGCCCAAAGCTGCCGAGGGTCGGGGTGGGGGCATACCATCCCGAGGGGCCACCTGGCGATGGTGGCGCGTAGAGGAGCCAGGCTTGCCTTTGCCTTTAGTCTGTGCCAGGGCTCCGGCGCCTGGCTGGCGCTTCCTGCAGGCAAAACGCAGCCTGAGAATGATCTCGGGGGAACTTCCTAGGAAAAAGGACGTATTTCAGGTTGGGAAGGTGTAGACAGGGAGCGCCAGGGCTGCCTCCAGCCGGAGAGAATCCCCAGCGCGCTCCTACTACCGGCCCACGTGCGTGCGCCGGGCGGCCGGACGGCGGAGCGCGAGCCGGAGGCCCGGCGGGAAGGCGCAGGGGGCGGCCGGCAGCGGGGAGCGCGCAGCGCGCGGGGAGGAGGCGGCGGGGCTTCCCCGGGCTTCCCTCCCGGGCCGCGGGCCCCCGGCGCGGGCCCAGGGCGCGGAGGCGGCGCGCGGGAGCGGGGAGTCCCCGAGGCGCCCCTCGCTGGGCGCGGGGACGCAGCGCCGGAGCGCCGGGGCCCGCGGAGGGGGGTGGCGCTGGTTCCTCCCCACCGCCCCCGCCCCCGCCCGGCTCCCGCCTCCCGCCCCCGCCCGCGGCCTGGAGCGCCTCCCTCGCGCCCCGGGTCTGGCGAGCCGGCGCCGGCCGAGCTGCGGGAGTCGCCGAGAGCACCAGCTGCCGCCGCCCCGGAGCTGCTCCGGCCGCACCATGCGGGAACTGGCCATCGAGATCGGCGTTCGAGCCCTGCTCTTCGGGGTCTTCGTGTAAGTAGTGGCGCGCCGCGGGCGGGGCGCACGGCCGCGGGGACCCACGGACCGAGCGTCTCTGAGCCCCAACTTTGTTTGCGCCACCGCGTCCCGCGGGGCCTGGATTCGAGGTCCGCTCCCTGCCCAGTGCCCGGGATGTGTCCTGCGGGACCAAGGGAGGCCCTCTCGGTTCCCTTTCAGGGACCCTGGGCGCGGAAGGACCCGCGCGCGCCGGGCTGAACGTTGCTCCTGACACCCCATCGCGTCGGGGAGCGGTCCCGCCGCCACAAGGGTCCCCACGCCTGCGCCTGTCGCCGGCTCCGCAGCCCTGCACGGGACTCAGGGCTGCTCCCCTGGACGCGGGCACTCACTCGCACCCGCGTCCTGGGCAAGTTGCTCCTTGTGTGCGTTTGCAGGCTTCGCCCCTGGCCCATCGCCTGTCGTCCCGTGCCGTGCCCAGGCCCGGTCTCGGTCTCCTTCCGTGTCCCTGGCTTTGGCCCCCCCAGGTCCTGGTGAGGGTTTTCCCAGGAGGCGTTTGCGGTGCTTCTCCCGCTGGGAAACTGTTAGTGCGGAGGCTGAGGAAGTCGGGGACCGCAGTCCGAGGTATGGGCTCCATGTGCCCTGAAACCCTGTGCCGAGTCTCCGTCCGGTTAAGGTGCGGGCGGGGGCCCTTTGAGGGCAGCAGCGCAATGCCCCTGGTAGCTCTGAGGGGCTGGTAGCTGGAAATAAGAGATCTTGGAAAGAGAAGTGGGTGCTGGCTCAGTTTCAGAGATGTCTGGACCCTAAGGTGCCCCGAGGACCCACTGCCCACCGGCCTTCTGGGCCCAAACAGCGGGGAGATGTCAGTATCCCTACCTGTCAGCCCAAGCCCAGAAACCCGGTTCAGACCCACTCTGCAGCCCCTGCCATCTCCTGTCACCCAGGCACCCACAGCTTCTCCCTGCATTGGTGGGTCAGGTTCTCTCTCCCCCTCTGCCCATGGCTGTTTTCTGATAAATTTTGAGTATTAAAGTTGCATGGACTTTTTCTGGATTTGTCATTTTATTTTTATTGAAAAGCCCACTGAACCGTTCCAAACAGAATTTCTCTGGATTTCTGCCCCAAATCCGGAGTCATTGACGGCAGGTGGAAGGCTGTGAGTTGACTTCTGTGCGGTGCGGCCCAGGGTACGCGCATGGAAAGAAAGGCCCTTTCTTGCATGTTTTTCTTTACCAGGGATTAAATTCATCCAGAGTATTTATTCACACCACCAGAAAGGGCCGTGAGCTCCCCCAGATGCAGGCAAGCCCCCTCTCCCAGCTTTTGACTAAACACTAGTGTTATTCAGTGGAAAGAAGAAACGAGAAAAACTTCAGTTGGGTCTTGATGTATTTGGGAAAACAGAAAACACGTTTCCTTCCTCTTACTCTATTTCTACCTTTGGGATATACAGGAAAACTGGTAATTGCTGTGTGATCAGATGGGGACAATTTCCAATGGCAGACAGGATATACCCCATTGAATTATGATGTGATAGAAATGATAGTGCTCAGTGCACAGTAGGGTTTACTATTGGTTAGTTAATGTGCGTGTGCAGTGCTGAAATAAAGTGAGGTAGGCTCTTAGGCTGCCTGGTTTGATTGCTGCTGGGACTTGTCAGATTAAAAAGGCTCCAGTGATATGTAAATACTTATATGGTTTTCAAACATCCCCCAAAACATTCATGAAATGTTTACAAATAAATAATGGTCTATGCACTGGATTTGAAAACTTGATAATCACCGTTATATGTGGTTCTTGCTCCCTCGAAGGATGTCCTGTAAACACCGGGCAGGTGGTTTATGTTTTTTTCTCCAAGTTTCCCCTTTGTATTAATTACTTAATGGGGGATCTGCTGACCCCAAAAGGGAAACCCTTGGGCAGTGATGGCTGATTCCCTGGTTTTTTGGATGATTCCGTGGTTTTATATAAAATCGGAAATATGAACAGTGTGTCCAACTTGTGGCTTTTACCTGCAAAGACAGCTTTTGTATCTGCGCAAGACTGCCTGGGTGGGAGTTGAATGTTCAGATGCTCTTATCATCAGGCAGATAACGACTTGGGAAGGACAGGCTTGGAGCACGGTTACAGATGACCCTTTGTTTTCTCCGATAAGCTGCTGGGGAGGTGACAGGGGCTGACTTCTGGGGGGAGTTTTATTCTTCCTTTTGCCAGTGCTGGTCTGATAGCAAGATTCAGTGGCGTGTAGCCACCTCTGCTTGTGGAGATGGTGGTCTCAGCAGCAGGGTGTTACCCCAGTCAGTTTAGAAAGTTCTGGTCAAGCTGAATCCAGTTTCTCTTAGCTGATACCATTCATCATCTGGTTCTGCTTGGTAGATCTACCCTATTTCTCAGGATAAGAGAATAATCATTTTTTGTGGGGATATCTTACTTCTTTGCAAACTGCTGCCTCTGGGAAACATCATCTATAGATGCACCTGTTCTCTGATCATATTTGCTCTGCATGAGAGCAGGACCCCACTGCCTGATGCCCATGTGCCCCTGTAGATTTGACGTTAGTGCTAATGAAATGCATTTTTGAACCTATGGATAGTAGAGGTATATGCTTTTCTCTTGCTCCATCCATAGACCAGGGTTAGTGCTGAGTTTTGGTGGTTCAGAATTCTAAGAGGATGTGCTCCAGAAAGAACCCCCAAAGTTGGCCCAAAGGGTGCTCAGACTTTCTGGGCAGTTCTGACTAAGAAGCTCAATCACTGGGAAGAAAATTAGCAATTAGTCATGCAAATCAGGGCTGGCACATAGTTTAACATAACAAGAAATAAATTGGAGGAATCCAGTGTTTAGGAAAAAATCAAACTTAGATGTGCAGCTTTGAGGTTGCATTTAGTCTTGTGGGCCTGGAGGCCTGTTTGTTCCTATGTAGGGGCTGGGTGCTGAGCAGACAGAAAGAGTACCAGTGGGCTTCCTCCATTCTGCTGCCACACAAGACTCCAGCAGAGATTCTGGGAATGGTTCTGTGCATGCCAAAGCCAGCACCTGACCTTGTTGAGAAAGCAGTTTGGAAACGAGGGGCCAGTCAGTAGCCCCAGCACCAATGGTATTCTACTTGCCCTTTACTCCTATCACCAGTACAGTAACTACCATTTATTGAGGGCTTACTATGTGCCGGGCACTAATGGAGAGGCTTGCATATATCATTTGAGCCTGTATGCACCTGGTGAAGAGGTCTCTTGGTAGTCTACTCACGCAGGAAGAAACTGAAGCATGAAAAGATTAAGATCTGAGATCCGAGCCTAGGCGCTCTTGCTGTGGTATCTGGACTCTCCATCACCTCGCTGTACTGTTTTAGAAAAGTTAGCAGCCAGCGTTGGACATTTGAGGGCTTACTATGTGCAAAAGGCATTCCTTGGGATTTCTTTTTTAAGCCTGTGTGACTTGAGGTGAACTCTTCATTTTCCCCACTTTACAAATAAAGAAACCAAGGTTCAGGAAGGTTAAGCCCCGGCAGGCAGACACTCACCTAGCAAAAGGTATAACCTGGATTCAAACAGGCAATTAATTGACCCATGCCTCAAAGCCAGAGATAGAATACTTCAGGCACCAGCTGCCAAGCTAGGGCGACAATGACTGCATCCTGGAAGCCATCCCCTTACATGACCCGTCATCTCCAGAGGAGCCGATGCACAGCCTGGAGTGATGGGTGGGGAGAGATGTCGCTGTTCTCAAACCAGATTCTTAGGAGACTGTCTTGCCAATGGGTTTCTGCCCCGGGCAAATTCACTGTGGATTCAATATGACCAAAGAAATGACAGTAGAACATTCTTGGGGTGAATGGGTTATACCCAACTTTATTCCCATGGTGGCAGGTCAGTCACTAAAATCCCATCCACTCAGAGCGAGTCTGTACGCAGCAAGCTGGTCTCTGCCTCTGGGCCTCTCTACCCCCGCAGCCGTCTCAGTTTCTGTCCTCGGCGCTGCCACCTGCTCTCCTGCAGCCTTGCAGCCATGCCACCATGTCTCATAGAGCCCTGGGCAGAGCTCTTTATAGAGAGTCAATAACGACTACTGCCCACACGTGTGCAGTGAGCAAACCGTCCAGGGCCAGGAGAGAATCCTGGCCACAGGAACCTTCACTTTATCCACAGATGCCATGTCAAAGGTGGAGGGGTAGCAGTTGTAGTTCACATGCCCTAAGAGATGGGGTGAGGGCATGCTACATATTTGGAGGGGAAGATGTGGTGAAATAAATTACAGGTAAGAACGTAAGTGCTAGCATTAAAGAATTAGAGGCATATTCCTTCTCTCGCAGCTGTTGGCCTTCGCCCTCCAGGACATAAGGTCCTTTGGAACAGCCTTTACTGACAGCACAGCAGGAAGGGCCCTGGGAACAGGACGGTGAACTGAACAGCTGGCTGGGGGAAAGGCCATCTACCTGTTTCAGTTGTGAGCCTGGGGTCCCGGGGGTCCTCAGTCCCTCCCCCCATCCGCCCGTCCCTGCCTCTCCTCTCTCCCCTCTGTGGCTTCTGGTTGGTCCCTGGTTGGGATGTCCCTCCAGGAGCTGTGGGTCTGCTCAGGGTGCCAGGTTGCCCAGGAAACGGCATTGGTCTCTCCTCAGATGGTCCCAGCGTCCTTCTTAGAGCTCTTGCACCACAGGAGGCCTGTGCCAGGTGTTGGGGATGATCAGAGAAGGTAGGTTGAGGACTTCCCAGGAGCTCACAGTGTGGCAAGCAAGTGTGTGACAGCACAATTAGTGATTTTCCCTGGTGCGATCACTTTGGAAAGTTTGCCTCCAAACATTTTACCATTCATCCTGTTGACAAATGCTTAGCTGGCCCCTTCGAGGTGCCTGCCCTCCCCTTCACTCATATGCTTAGGTTGGTGTAATTCCAAACAGACGTAGGGGGACTTGGTGCTTCAGTTGGTCCCCGTGAGTTGCTTGAGGGCACTGGCTGCCAGGTAGGTTTTTGGAATATTGACAGGAAGGAGTAGATCTTTCATGATTACCTGTAAGCGTCCAGACTGGGATTCCAGGCTGGGGA